ATACGACGCTATCAGAAATCTTCTTTTATAGGGAAGCCTCTTCATATCCTCATTGTTATGGTTCTTCTTCTTGGAAGGGAGGTTGATCATAGAACCAGGTTCCCTAGTCTCCACCTTCTTGGTCACTCCATGAAGCTCTGGGGGTACCCCATTCGGGTGGTTGTGGATACCCCCACATATAGTAGAAGCCATTAGGTTCCACGATTCAACCTACAACGAAAAAAACACAAAAAGAAAATCAAACAAACACCAACCACCCTTCAAGTGAAGAGTGGATAAACAAAACTCAAAACAAAACACGAAACAACTAAAGTAACAACCTAAGCCTTTTTCAAATAACCTAGAATGTGTTCCTCAGCAACGGCGCCAAAAACTTGACTCGTTCCAACTACAACATCCCGATCCACGACCAAGCATAACCGGCGATCGGGTGTAGCATAGGGCAAGCAAGCAATAATGATTTAGGATCTAAAATGTGACAAAAGAAGCACAACCTAGTGTAAAATAGGTCGAGGGGTGATGATAACGAAGTCAAACAATCAAGAAATGAGGGCTAAAATATGTGTAATTGAGTCCGAATCACTACCCAAAAAATAATAACTCTACGGTTTGTTTGTAACTGGATTGGGTGGACAATACTTCTAAGTAAAATCCAACACAAAAAAATGTAACTATTTAACTATAAAAATATAATATAACTAATTAAAATTTCAAACAAACAAATCGAGGTGAAAAGTATCAAAATTTATAGATGTTAATTGAATTTTAAAGAAATGAAATTTGGTTCAACTTATGTCTAACTTTTACCACAAATATTTGTGGAAAGAAGTTAAATTTTTTATAATTGAACTCATCCATAGTATACTATTTTTATGAAATTTTACCAAATCTATTACATGAAACATAATCCATATTAAATCACATAATGTATTAGGTTAGATAGACCACGAGAGAAAAATATGTCAAAATATTTTAATTTTCTCAAAACTTGCTAATATACGAAATAAATATGTTTTGGATATAAACACTTATGATAATAGTTCGAAAACGAATTGGATCGGGTTCTACGGATTGCGTAATTCAAAATCCGCAACCAACCCAAAAGTGGAGTATTGTACAAAATAAATTCTTCACCCAATTTTAAACCTTAATAAATATGAGTGGTTATGGATCGGGTTGAGCGGGTGAATTGGTTTGCCAGTGTTTTTTTTCACCTAACCGACAGGCGACAACCTGGCCCAAAAACCGTACGATGCAAATTCGTATCGTATTCGTATGTCTCGACGTTTCTTGCGGGAAAGGTCAAGTAACAAATACAGTCTTTAAATTAAATTTAAGGCCAATACTACAGTGCCGCTATTAAAAATGCGGCACCGGTGCCGCACTCTGTGATTCGTCCACCTGTACATGACATGGCGCTGATTTAATTTAGTAAATAAGGCCATACCCAATAAACCATATGACCGGCCCAAACCAGCAGCTCTCCAGAGTGACGGAGAACCTATATGCCGTCTTCCCACTTCCCGACCGTTTGCCGTTATTTTATTTTCATTTATTCAGTTAAAACTCGTTTAAATTTTAAATGCATATATTTCTGATTTCTCCAAGAAGCGAACACAAAAAGCAAATGAAAAGGCAAAAAAAATTGAAACTCCTTCACCGTGTTCCTCCTCCTACATTCATTCTGCAAAACAATTCGATGAATCTCTGATTCCTCTCTGTCTCGGTCGAGCTGCTCTACTGCCACCGTACAAGACGATCTGATCCTTCCCTCTGCGTCGTCCCTTTCGGGCTGCACGCCCGATCCCACTGTCGGAATCGTGTAAAAACCCAAAGTTGGTTCGTTGTTCATCATGGAGGAATGAGAAGAGCCCATGCTTGAAGGAAAACAGGATATGCAACTTGCAAGGCGTTGTTTGCTCTTTTTTTTGGGTGAAAGTGTTGTTTGCTCTTTAGAAAGAAAGAAAGAAATCATGTCCCATGTGTAATGTGTTGCAATTATAAAGCCTGTAAATTAAACTGAAGGTATATAGATCTTTTTCCATAACTCAGCCTTTCACACCATTATCATCTAGGATAGATGCTCAGTACTGTACTGTTGCCCACGACTACCAAGTTTGATAGGAGAGAAGCTGAGGTGTACCTTTTTTTGTCTGTGTAAAGCAAAATGTAGCTTTTGTTGAGAATGAAGTACAAGAAACTCGATTAATAGGGTGGTTCTCATTCTACTTACTGGTTAACATCAATACAAAACTACATGTTGTTTGATGTAAAGACCTCAATAATTTGTTAAATTATAGTTCATCTACCAACAAAGTAGGCCACTGATGCCTAAATTAGCCTCCCTTATCCTCCTCCTTGAAGAACGAACTTATGTTTTATACAGAGCATGTACAGCTACAGCAACTGGAGGGCTCTCCAGGAACAGATCATCGCAATTCTGCATCTCAACACCCTCCACCTTGATGTAAACCAGTCATGCCTGCAACTGCAACAATTTTCGATCGAAAGTGCAAACCAGTCATGCCTGCTTCTCTAATTTGTCCTTAGAAACTCATCTCTTGTCATTACAAACCTTAGGTTTCCACAGCTAACAAAAACAGGAAACAACAAGCACAGAATTAGAGAAATAACTTACGAAATCACCTACATGAAAGTTAGATATAAGAAATAAACTCTACAAGCTCCTCCATGATGGCTCTGCACCATGATACGACATGTCTAATTGTGTAACATTGTGTTTGTGTCGAGAGTAGTGAACAACAGAGTCGGGCAATGTAGATAATTATGTTTCAAATGCCCATACCAAATGAGCTAAAATGCAGCAAGCATATTACAATACGTGTGAGCAGATAGTGAATAATGCTAGGGCCACCCTAAGCTCTAAGAGGGGCATTTGAAACAACAAGCACAGAATTAGAGAAATAACTTACGAAATCACCTACATGAAAGTTAGATATAAGAAATAAACTCTACAAGCTCCTCCATGATGGCTCTGCACCATGATACGACATGTCTAATTGTGTAACATTGTGTTTGTGTCGAGAGTAGTGAACAACAGAGTCGGGCAATGTAGATAATTATGTTTCAAATGCCCATACCAAATGAGCTAAAATGCAGCAAGCATATTACAATACGTGTGAGCAGATAGTGAATAATGCTAGGGCCACCCTAAGCTCTAAGAGGGGCATTTGAAACAACAAGCACAGAATTAGAGAAATAACTTACGAAATCACCTACATGAAAGTTAGATATAAGAAATAAACTCTACAAGCTCCTCCATGATGGCTCTGCACCATGATACGACATGTCTAATTGTGTAACATTGTGTTTGTGTCGAGAGTAGTGAACAACAGAGTCGGGCAATGTAGATAATTATGTTTCAAATGCCCATACCAAATGAGCTAAAATGCAGCAAGCATATTACAATACGTGTGAGCAGATAGTGAATAATGCTAGGGCCACCCTAAGCTCTAAGAGGGGCATTTGAAACAACAAGCACAGAATTAGAGAAATAACTTACGAAATCACCTACATGAAAGTTAGATATAAGAAATAAACTCTACAAGCTCCTCCATGATGGCTCTGCACCATGATACGACATGTCTAATTGTGTAACATTGTGTTTGTGTCGAGAGTAGTGAACAACAGAGTCGGGCAATGTAGATAATTATGTTTCAAATGCCCATACCAAATGAGCTAAAATGCAGCAAGCATATTACAATACGTGTGAGCAGATAGTGAATAATGCTAGGGCCACCCTAAGCTCTAAGAGGGGCATGTCCTACCCGCCAGTTATCGTGCCAAAGTTGCTTGCTCAGCTGCTGCTCCTGCTAGGTTTTTCCCGGAGGAAACTCGATTCCAAGCATTGCAGTACCATAATATTTCCTCACATCAGTAAAGACACATTCACCAGCCCAGGGATCTGCAAGAACAGAAATAGTTGGGGGAAACTTCCAACTTTTTGTTTAGATGCCCTCTATGAAGTCGTTTGTGTTGATGAGTGCTCAGTGCATACACTTAAGACCTGTCATGTAGAAAAGAACAACTAGCTAAAAATTTCAGTAGCTTCAATCGACCTGATTGTTCAAGAACCATGAAAGCAAAACAATACCAAAATGCACATCAAAAGCTTCTCACCTGCTCTCAACCCCTGAAATCATTGAACCGCCAATGCTAGAGCTAGCAGATTCACAAACGACATCAACGAAAGAATCATGTTTGTAGGAGGAAGTTCAAGTCAGCGGTAGCTAAGCTTACCCTCCACCTACCAATCTAAAGGTAAACTGGAATCAATGCCAGAGCAGATAGCATAAACAAACAACCAAATAACGGAAATCTTCCAGATAAGAAAATACCCTCCCGCCTTGCAATATGCAGCAGGCCACTGCCAATACAACCATCTCCAGACAGGAGAAAGAAAAGAATAAACTGAAATAGAGAAGGGGAGAACAACATCATAATCAATGTCGGAGGGAGCAGTGAGGGATTTCAATCCAGGCGATAGGTAGACCGGGGAGATGGGGATCGACGACGGACAAGTCGCCGGGAAAGATTTTGTAGAGACCGCCGGCGAGGGAGATCGATGAACTGTGCTGTTGTTTCGTTTGGTGTAGATCCATGTTTTCTGATTTTGCCAAAAAAACAGTTACATGAATTTTAATTTAATTAATTAACATAAAAACGAAAACAAAACGTTGAACGGAGTTACGGAGTTATGGAGAATCCTTTCGCCCGGTTGGGCTACTTCTAAGTTCTAACGGGCCACCTGGGGTTTGGTTGGGATTAATTAAACAAAATCAACGCCACCTCATATCCACGTGGACCAATGAAGGGTCGCGTCACCGGTGCCGCACTTTTATTGGCGGCACCGTAGTATTGGCCTAAATTTAATAGTTAATTTACCATCTCCGATCACTCCCGCCTCCTCTGCTATTCCCCACCCTTTCGAAATCCCGAACAACTGAAATCTCCCTGAAGTCCTATTGTTTTCAGCTCCGATGGCGCCGGCGGGGGACGATTTCGCGAAGGAAGAAAAGAATCCCCCTCCTCTTGACGAAGACGACATAGCGCTCCTTAAAACCTATGTAATGCTCCCTTCGGTTTAATGTAGCTGCTGCTTCCTGTCTATTCAATAGTGTTTTTGAGTTGGAGATTTTGGGTTGCGAATTGCAGGGATTAGGGCCCTATTCGAACAGCATTAAGAAGGAAGAGAAAGAGATTAAGGACTTAGCTAAGAAGATCAATGACCTGTGTGGTAAGCTTTTACTTTCTGGTCTAATTAATTATTCAACTATGATTTGCTCTATTTGCTTTTGTGGTTGGCGTTTCGCTGGTTAAAAAGTATTTGCTGTATCATGCTTAAATGAAGTCTAACTGGTTCGGCAGCCATTCTTTATCTCCCTATCTTATGCTGTTGCTGTAGCAAATATTATTATGCGACTACTTGTATTTTGAAAGAACTTCCGCGATGCCCTAGCTTGCTACTGTTTTGCGGAACCTCCGCATTAACATCGGGCGGCTACTTCTATGACAGTTCGCTTCTCAGTGTTATTGAACATGTTGGTCATTCTAGATAGCATAGTTGCTTGACTGTAGCATCCGTTACGGCAAAGAAATCCATGCTCTGAAGTTTTGATATTGTGCTTCGTAGGTATCAAGGAATCTGACACTGGTCTGGCTACACCAAGCCAGTGGGATCTGGTATCTGATAAGCAGATGATGCAGGAGGAACAACCACTTCAAGTAATGAATGCTGCTTTCTAGAATTTAGGTAGAATCAGATTATAATGATTCGTTTCCTGTTAAAATGATGTAATCTGCGGCTTCTTTTGGGAAGGTTGCCAGGTGCACCAAGATAATCAACCCAAATACCGAGGATGCCAAATATGTAATAAACGTCAAACAAATTGCTAAGGTATGTTGCCAGTCACTGTAGCAATCTCGGTTTTCTTCAGAGAAAGTTATACTACTAGTACTAATTGCTTACCTTATTTGCTCGGAACTAATTGCAGTCACTTTATTGATGCAAACAATTTTATGACGCCTTACTACAACAATGATCTTTTTGGATAACTTTCAGTTTGTAGTTGCGCTTGGTGACAAAGTCTCCCCTACTGATATAGAAGAGGGCATGCGCGTTGGGTAGGTTCCTTCATTTAGAGTTTATTGAGTGACCATTTGGCATGTTGAAAACAGTATATGATAAGATCATCCCATGTTTCTATTTGACATGTGGTTAATATTGGAGAGATTACTTGCAGTGTTGATCGTAACAAGTATCAGATACAAATACCATTGCCTCCGAAAATTGATCCAAGCGTCACGATGATGACCGTGGAAGAGAAGCCAGATGTAACATACAATGACGTTGGTGGTTGTAAAGAGCAAATAGAAAAACTGCGAGAAGTGAGTTTACTTAAGTTTGATTTTTGTGTTCTTTTACCTACAAAAGTATGGATTCATGAACCTAAATCAGTTTTATGTTTTGATTTTCATTTCCGTAGGTTGTTGAACTTCCCATGCTTCACCCAGAGAAATTTGTGAAGCTTGGAATCGATCCTCCCAAGGGCGTTTTATGCTATGGTCCTCCTGGAACTGGGAAAACTTTGTTGGCTAGAGCTGTGGCCAACAGAACTGATGCATGTTTTATTCGTGTCATAGGTTCTGAACTTGTTCAAAAATATGTTGGTGAAGGAGCTCGTATGGTTCGGGAGCTTTTTCAGGTGAGAACTGCTCCTCATTGTGCTGCAGTTTTCTCAATTCTAATCTTATAGAGATTCTTGCGTGCTGAATGAGCTATTTGTTTGCTGTAGATGGCTCGGTCGAAGAAGGCTTGCATTGTCTTCTTTGATGAGGTTGATGCAATTGGGGGTGCTCGATTTGATGATGGTGTGGGCGGAGATAATGAAGTTCAGCGCACAATGCTTGAAATTGTTAACCAACTTGATGGGTTTGACGCTCGAGGGAATATCAAAGTGCTAATGGCAACAAACAGGTATCTTCTGGAATCAGAAGGTCCCCATAAAAGATCACATTTCTGTTAATGCCGCACCTTAAACAGAAGCTTTGTTCATTCATATTTATGCTATCTGCTGGTATGATGGTCTGTCTAAAAAAAAAATTAGTTCGGCCTCACACATTTTTCTCAAATGAGATTGTTGTGCTTGCTGTATGCAAACTCTTACTCGTGTTTTTCTCTTCTAGAAGGAAATGCTCATGTGCCCTACGGGGATTCTTTTGTTAATCTGCAGACCTGACACCTTGGACCCAGCACTTCTACGTCCTGGAAGACTAGATCGTAAGGTAGAGTTTGGACTGCCAGATATGGAGAGCAGGACTCAGATTTTCAAAATCCATACGCGGACAATGAATTGTGAAAGAGATATTCGCTTTGAGCTCCTTGCACGGCTTTGTCCAAATTCAACTGGTAAGCTCTGTTTTGTGATATTTGTTACATAGTTTTAAGTTCAAATATAACGCTTTACGTGTATAACACTCATGCTGAAGTAGTGAAGTCCTCAGGTTCATTATAATTCCTCTTGATACCAATCCTACTTTCTTGCAGGAGCCGACATCAGGAGTGTCTGCACTGAAGCCGGAATGTATGCCATTAGAGCACGTAGGAAGACGGTGACGGAGAAGGACTTCCTGGATGCCGTCAACAAGGTCATAAAGGGATACCAGAAGTTTAGTGCCACACCTAAATACATGGTGTACAACTAACCTAGACATGTGCTTTTCGAACACCACCTAATGTATTTGTAGTAGATTTTGTAATTTGTTTCCAGAATTACTTGTTGTACACCTTGGGAACACCACATACCTCATATTTCTAAGCTAGTCAAATGTTTCTGCTTTTGTTTTTGGTAACCTCAGATTGGGTGTGTTTTTTTTTTTTTTTTTTGTATGGTCTCAGATTGAGTTTAGAACTCTTTATTTCATTGGAATTGAAACTGCAGGTATCGGTGTTCAAGGCAGCAAATAATCTGTTTACCTAGGTTCGTGGAAACGATTAAAGAGGATTGTAAAATGACAGTAACTCAACTAGTGATGATCGCAGAGAAATGGGTATTGCGAATAGAGAATAGATGAGCCATGAATGACTAGTTGTTCCACATTGGTATTCTTAGGGTTAATATTTTCGTATGGGTTGAACTTGACCAAAATAAACATCCTGGCCAATCTTTTCGAATAATAACATCCTGACTCGAACTATACACCAAAATAAACAATTTGGCCAAACTCGATGTTTGAGCCGTTAACTTGGACGGTCAAACGTGTTGACTAACAGTCAACACGCCACGTCACTGCCAAGTCAGAAGACCTTATAAATATTTAATTTTTTTCGTTTTTATTTTTGGTTTAACTAAGGTATTAGATGATTTTTTTAATTTATAATAATTTAAAATTAGAGAATCTATGGAAATTGTGAATTATTTTAAATATTTTATGCTGACTTGGTAGTGACATGGCGCGTTGACTAACGGTCAACGCGTTTGACCATCCAAGTTAACGGTCAAAAGCCGGATCTGGCCAAATTGTTTATTTTGGTGTATAGTTAAGGCCAGGATGTTATAGATCGAAAAGATTGGCCAGGATGTTTATTTTGGTCAAAGTTCAGGCCATACGAAAATATTAACCCATATTCTTATCATTCCTGGTTAAATTCTGAATTTTGTTTTGCTAGTCAGAAACATATTTCACTGACCGCTAGTTCTTTTGCAACAAAGCTACTATAAGTTTGATGTCTTTGGCTTAATGTTGTCCTAGTTTCTACTGTATGTTCAACTATCTATCAAAATTGTATAAGGCAGGTGATGTCGCAGCAACCCATGAGGTAACAGAAGCAGTTGAAACAAAGATTACATGGGAAATGAAGAGCTGCTCAAACCTTTACCTGAGAAGGAAACGTGGGATGCAGTGTAGAGAATGGCTCCGACGAAGGCCCCTGTAGTATATGGAATGTTAGCACTTTTCTTTCAAAGAATTGGTAAACAGTGGGACCTGCCGTAATAGAAGAATCGCAACATAGATTAGAAAGAGGGATGGTTCCATCGAGCCTAAACCAGACCCTATTAGCAATGATTCTATTGATGCCAAGTTCCGAGCAGCCTGCTTTAATGTGTTTGGTCAACGGTGGTCGGCGGGGTTATTTGGAGGGGAGAGCACCCAAACCCAATGTTTTAACCAGTTGTAGATACTAACACCATTAACTTACACATATAGATGATTTTATCATTCTTCTCCTTATGATCACCTAAAAATGGTTTGTGACGGTTGTATGATGTCGGCTGAATACTGGGTCTATCAATTGCCCCCTTACCAATAGGAAAATCATGACTGAGACCAAAGTTTTCTATTGGTAACACATCATTAGGTGAGTGATTTAAATTACGACATGCATAGCCGACACAAATTGGGCAAGCACTTGTTTGAGAGTCAAGTCAATCATGGTAGAAGGAACACACCATCGTGGCGAGCGATCATGGAAAGCCGTGTCGATTATGACAGGCAGGCTGCAGCAGTCGTCGTGGGCACCATGAAGAATCGTGCCAATCTTGGTAGGCGACCCCAACCAATCGTTGCAGGCTACCAGTGCCAATTGAATGAATTGATGCCGCCTTATTGTGTGTTTAGTGTTGTCCGTGAATGAGTGATAAGGACAATAGTTTGGGTTATGCAGCATCATAGGAAAATTTTGATATCAAGTATAAATGAGAGTTTAGGAGGGATTGCCAGATAGTTTTTGAGTTTACAAAAACTTTCTCATACTTGAATTTTTCTCGATTGGAGCATGAGAAGGGAAGAGGTTCCCCTGCCAGATTGGTGATGATGATGCAAAAGTTGTCCCATCATGATTCAGAAGAGATGAGAGGCAGAGTGGTGTGGGTGAAAAAGTGGATATTTTTTCATAATAGCAATTTGCGGGGAATTGAACCCTTGACCTCATTGATGGAGGTGTGCCTACTTAAAAAGTAGACCACATGGGCTTCCTCGGTAAAACGTAGGTCTTACGAGAGGCAGACCAAAATCAGTGCACCCTCGACCTCGTTGTGACTTGCATGACATCAGGTTTCTCCACCATCTCTCCTAGCGGGGTTGACGTTGACAATGACAATTAGTAAATTTCTTCACCGGGCTCCATAGTAGGAACAAATTGTTGATGGAACTTTTCATCAAGCCTTACTATATGTGTCAATTGTTGATGTCAGGGCGCCATTCCATGGGAGGACTCGAGGATTTTATGATTTCGCGGCAAATCGACGGAGGAACTAGTGGGGTTGAGGGTCCGCAGTTTCGGACCAAAGATTGACACAACTCAATCTTGATGGGGAGATCCTCGATTCTTGGAGATAGCAAATTGAATGATGTTTGGAGTTGTATCTTGACGAATTCCTTCTTCGGGTTGCAGATCCTGCATGCACATCTCGTTGAGATCCTCGATTCTTGAAGATAACAACTTGGTTGATGATTGGAATTGCATCTTGACGAATCCCTTCTTCGGGTTGCAGATCTTGCATTTCCATCTCGTTGGGATCCTCGATTCTTGGCGATAGCAACTCAATAGTCAATAGATGTTGGGAGTTGCATCTTGACAAATACCGGCTTCGGGTTGAAGATCCTGTGCGATCATCTCGTCTTGCTGGATTGATGATTTGTTGGTATTAATCTCACCGGGCCCCACGGTGGGCGCCAATTGTTGATGGCAAGCTTCAATGTGTTTGTGGTCCGGTGAGCGCCGGTCTTCTTTGGCCAACGTCCGTCACCAGCCTCCGAGATGAACACCTGCAAAAGAGGACGCGCCGGCGGTGGTCGGCGGGGACCTGCTCCAAAGCTCAAGTTAGTATTTGAGAGGAGAGTAACCGGGAGCGGCGTATTGAGCCAGCTCTTGAGAGAGATTTAGAAGTTCAATCCCAAAATGAACTCTCAAAATGAACTGCCTAGAAAACATAAATGAGCGTCCTATTTATAGGTGCCTCCTGCTTCTGGCGTAGGTGGCGTGCTCGTAATAAAATAAAAATAATACATTACCTCCCAGCCAACTCGAGTGCAATGGGTGGATGGCTACAAGCAAACACATATAAAAATAAAATTAGAAATAAAATAAATTCATTTACCTAGTTTCTTTCTACTAAGCCACGTATATTAGTATGGGGAAGATGGGGAAATGTTATTGTGATGGCAATAATCAGAATTGCCTGCTCCACTTCTCTTCTCATCAGGGCACGTGTAGTAGTGTAGATAGTGATGAATTGGGGATTTTTTTTTGTGGCCAACTCTCTGCTATTACCCAACTAATTGAGAGTAAATAACACACCCATCCACCTTGTCTTTTGTACGTGGAGGCATGGGAAAGTTATCTTTTTAATTCATGTGTATGTGGCAAATGGTGGGTGGTAGAATTCCCACCTCATTTTTGCCTAAGGCCATGTTGGTGTTGACTCATCCATCTTCTCCACCTCTTATCCAAGTTAAAAGGGTTGGATAAGTTGATGATGATTGGTGGTTTGAGTGAAGAATAGTACAGGTAAGGGTTCCATTACCATCCATCAACTAATTACTCTTAATAATTCGTACACATGGAAAATAGCATGTGATGATGTGTTAATCCTTCATTTGGTTGGAGGAAGCAAATAGAAATTGTCATCCACATAAGAAACCATTCCATGGATGTAATTTGGTTTGATGGGGTTATTTGGAGGGGAGTGCAGCCAAACCCAATGTTTTAACTAGTAGTAGATACCAACATCATTAACTTACACATATAGATGATTTTATCATCTTCTCCTTATGATCACCTAAAAATGGTTTGTGACGGTTGTATGATATCGTTTGAATACTGGGTCTATCAGATTCCGAAAACAAAGAATCAAGCAGGTCTCTCATTCAAGAGCGGGGGCCATTTTAGAGGAAGTTCACTCTCTTCTTCCCTCCTTTTCCTCAGTCTCGTGCCACTTTGCTCATCGGAGTTTCAACAGAGCTGCCCACCTCGTGGCAAAACAGGCTCTTTATTGGGTGTCCGGTTGCATACTGACATCGTTCTTTGTTAGTGTCTCTCTTTTAACTGTGTTGTCCGACCATGCCCTGGGGGTTTATCTTGCATAAAAAAAAAGCCCAAAAGAATTCGGCCCTACAAGTCTTTGCAAGGTACTTACAAGATCTTATCAAAAGTTCTAGCAAATAGACTAAAGCGAGTACTCCACAAGGTGATATCAGAAACTCAGAGTGTATTCTTTTCAGGAAAAAATATCACTGACAATATTATGATTGCTTTTGAGTGTTTCTTTGCAATGAAAATTAGAAGAAAAGGAAAGAAAGGATACGTTGCAGCAAAACTGGAAATTGCCAAGGCCTACGACCTGGTTGAATGGCATTTCCTAGAAACCATTATGCAAAAATTGGGTTTTATGGAAGATGGGTGAACATCATTATGCAATGTGTGAGCATAATCAGTTATGCAGCTTTAATAAATGGTCAACAGTCCCTAGTGATAGTTCCCACCAGAGGTTTGCGAGAGGGTGACCAAATGTCGTCATACCTATTTCTACTATGTGCGGAAGGACTATCAGCATTCACCAGAAAGGCGATAGAAAAAGGGGATATACATGGTATAGTGTGAGCCAAAGAGGACCAGAACTAACCCATTTGTTTTTCTCTGCAGATGATAGTATTATCCATTAAAAATACAAACAAGGAGGCAGTGGTTCCCAAATAGATCCTAAAACAGTATGAGATGGAATCGGGATAATAAGTAAGCTTGGAGAAATCACAACTGTCTTTCGATAGCAACATGATGAAGATCAAATAAGAATATAGCAGCAATCCTAGGTATGAAACAAGTTGAATACCATGATAAATACCTAGGTTTACCAACTATTATGATAGATCAAAGAAGGCAGTTTT